ATAAGATCAAAACTGTATCATCTGATTGCGAAAGTTATGTAGTGTCAACCTAATTAATACTTTTAAGGGAAGTCTCCAGGGAATACCAGGTGCTTTGGGCTATGCCTGGATCCAGAACCAAGCGTGGGCCAATTTTTTGATGACAGCTGTAACTAAATAAAGTTGTGTCTAATTCCAATTTGATTCACGGTGTTTGCGTGGTAATTGTGGTTATCATTCCTGAACACACAACCTCCATGCATTTTCTGTACGTTGACGGATGACTTGAAGGCACATATTTTAGTTCACAATCAGGGCTGCTATTCCAAAAGCAAACAATGCCATTACAACATTATTTATTCCTATTAAGAATGCATGTCAGTTTACTTCAATAATTTATGACATGGAATTTCTGCTGGAAGAAAGATTCAGCGACGGCTCCTCTTGTTTTGTCACATTCCCAGGGCACTCATTTGAGTCCTATAAGTGCTAAAAAGAAGCTTAATGAAACAGAAGATGAAGCTGAGTAATGCTGCTATGTGGCCTGAAGTGAAGCCAGCTCCTTTTAGCTCCCATTTACTGAGCACAAACACGCACTTACCAGCCTTAATAGAATTATTAAGTTTTCATGGACCCATAAAAAAGAAAGAGCAAAAGAAGTATTTTAAATGGCATGCAGTCTCATCCTGTGCCTGTTTCTTTGGAAGTAAGTACCACTGAATTCAACATGACTTACTCCCTGGGAAGCGTGTCTAGAACTGCAGCCTTCATTTTCCACCACTGCTGGCTCTCAGTGGATGGTCATGGAATTAGTATTAGTATTATTCATAAAGATAGGAGTGGGATTAGTTTCCTGTCTACAAACTGACTCATGGATTCAGTTTTCATCTATTACTGAGTTGCACACAAATGACTTGGAAACTGAGTATGTATTCCAGTTGCTTTTATTTTGTGTGTAAACAAAGACAAACACTTGTTTATGGAATTGTGTGTGTGTGTGTGCACGCACAGACCTTCTGGTCACCTGTCGATTTATGCCAATCCCATAGATTTCATAGGGTTTTCTTAGCTAAGAAATACTCAGAGGCTGCTGCTAGTCCCTTTCTCTGAAATATAGCCTACAGCACTTGGTATTTATTGGTGATTTTCCAAGGTCCAGACTTTTTCTTTCACTTTTTATGCATTTAGTGGTTATACCATCAGACTGGGAATGAGAGCCCAAAGTTCTGCTCTTCATTTTGTATAGTTCATACAATGACTTTGAACTAGTATTTCTCAAACTTTATTAAATTTCTCAGATTTTGTAAGGATGGACATGGACAAGAGACTCATATGCACTGCAGAGAGCTCCTTGCAGAATAAACAGAAGGTAAATGTAAGAGAGAAAAAATAATTGAAGCAGGTGGGAAGAGAAGAATTATCTGGGACCCAGACACAGCATGCCTTCCTATTCCTTATAGAATCATAGAATTGGAAGAGACCTTGTGGGCCATCCAGTCCAACCCCCTGCCAAGAAGCAGGAAAATTGAATTCATGGCATCCTCGATAGATGGCCATCCAGCCTCTGTTTAAAATCCTACAAAGAAGGCGCCTCCACCACACTCTGGGGCAGAGACTTCCACTGCTGAACAGCTCTCACAATAAGGAAGTTCTTCCTAATGCTTCGATGGGTTAAACTCTTGTGCTGGCAGGACTGCTGACCGAAAGGTTGGCGGTTCAAATCCGGAGAGCAGGGTAAGCTCCCGTCTGTCAGTTCCAGCTTCCCATGCGAGGACATGAGAGAAGCCTCCCACAGGATGGTAAAACATCCAGGCGTTCTCTGGGCAACGTCCTTGCATATGGCCAATTTTCTCACACCAGGAGTTACTTGTAGTTACCCAAGTTGCTCCTGACACAATAAAAAAGGTGGAATCTCCTTGCTTGTAATTTGAAGTCATTGTTCTGTGTCCTAGTCTCCAGGGCAACAGAAAACAAGCTTGCTCCCTCCTCCCTATGACTTCCCCTCACATATTTATATGTGGCCCTCATCATGTCTCCTCTCAGCCTTCTCTGCTGAAGGTTAAACATGCCCAGCACCTTATATTTTGTGTGTACACAAGAAACAAGCACATGCTTTTAAAATGCTTATTACAAAAGTATGTGTGTCTGTCTATGTGTGCAGAGAGTACTGAGAGTCAACAACCAGCTACTCTCATGAGAATGGCTGAAGCAGACTTCAAATGGAATAACACAGCATCAATGACCGGTGCAATAAAGCCCTGGCATATGGTGGATTCTAAGGGCAATCCCAGATGCAGCCTGGCTCTCTCCTTTTTAAAAACATTTTCAGCCCTCCCTGAAATGTCTGCCCCTTAGTTTTTAATGTCTTGTCTTCTTTGGTTAAGTATTTATTTTCATGTACTTTTAAAGTTGTATTGTTACCTTTTTGAGCATCTCATTTCCTTAATAGCTATTCATTTTATTTCCATTTACTTTTCTTCTTAGGAAGAAAACCTGTGCTGCTTAATAAAAAGGTGCAGAAAGTTTGGTTGCTTGATGACTATACATATGCAAACACACCTATATATACACATATGGAACACATATGGAAGAACTAACATATACACACACTTATATACATACCCATGGAAGAATATTGCATCTTGTTAATTTTTTAAGACTCTCTGGTTCACTTTCCCTTGATCGCCTTAGGCAGACTGGAAGCTGTACAGTAGCAGTCAATTAACCTAGCTTAATATTCCACTGCCACTTGCACAAGAGAAAGCAAACACAAATTCGATGCAAGACGAAACATGTGCATGGGTCACATAAAAAACGTGAGAGATTTCAGCATTAATTTCATTAGGAAGGAGAATATATAGAAAATACCACACTCTGGAAAGTTGGCATATTGCTTCCTAGTGTGAAAAAAAAATGGCACCATACTGATTGTTGCTAGAAAACATTTTCTGGGCCAGAAAGCTAGGCAAAAGCATGCATTAAGAAATGGAGAAGAGCAGTACCTAAGGCTTAGAGTGGCATGTAGTGCCACCCAGTGGTTAATTTAATTCCTAGTTTCCAAACCAAAAGCACAATTTCTATCTAACTGTATATAGACAACAAATGTTTATAAGAAATTGCAGAGTGGGCTGTTGAAGTTATACAGAAATACCAGAAATACACCAGACATATACAGTCAACCCACCATATTCATAGATTCTGAATCCACATATGTAAATACCCACTGCTTGAAAATGTTTTTTTTTAATTCAGAAAGCAAAACTTGCTTTTGCAATGTTATAAAAAGGACACCATTTTGCTAATCCATTCTATATAATGAGACTTGAGCATCCACAGATTTTAATATCCATGAGGGGTTCTAGAACCAAACCCCAGTGGATACCAAGGTTCCACTCTGCAACCATAAGAGAAAAGTAGAACACAAACAAACAATATGGCTTACAATATTACTGCTATATTAACTATTTTGGATTTTTTTTCAAATCTTGGATAACTGTAATTTTATATAAGCACATAATGAGTTATCTTAGTGATGGGACCCACATCTAAACCTGAAAGTTATGTATGTTTCATAGGCACATTATACACATAATCTGAAGGGAATGTTAATCCCTTTTAATAATTTTATGCATGAAACACATTTTATGTACATTGAACCATCAGAAAACACACATGTCACTGTCTCAGCCATCCATGTAGACAGTTTTGATTTATGATTGATTTTGGAATTCCAGATAAGGGATGCTGTACATGTACTATATTGAGGTAGAGCAGTAAAAAGTACTTCCCATTCAGTTGAGTCAAAGTGCATCATATTCAAAGTTAGTTAAGTTATATGAGCATCTGACACAGAACATTTCACAAGGTACCTCTTCCCACCCCAACTAACTGGCTTTTCGTAGCATCCAAAATCTGCTTTGTGAAGCAGCCATCCCAGTTTTCCTAATGGTAAACCTGATTTGAAAACATGTTTGAAGTGGGAAGAGAAAGACATCAAAAAGTTAGTTCTAACTGGAAAGATGTAACCAAATTTAGCTGCCTTGATCCCTGTAATCTCTATGTCCCAAAGACCTATGATAGATCATTTATTTCCCAAGGTCAGATGTCCAAAATAGAAGATTGGAAGACTAGAATCTAACAAGGGTAACCTCAACCTAGTTTGGAGGGAAATGATTTTGAAGCAAATGTAGTTCCCACAATTCTTCAGCCAGCATTGTCAGCATGCTAGATGAGGAATTCCATGAGTTACAGACTAAAACAGTAATATTTCCAAGTTCTGACTTAAATCTTCCTTTACACAATATGCAGCAATGTGTATTAACAGACCCATTAGAAGCAGACCTACCTTGACCGCTGTATATAAAATAGTCACTGGTTGCTAATAGATGAAACAGCTAATCTTTTCAATTCCTCACATAAGATTAATCATGAATCTCACTGTTTTCCCCTTTCCAGATTATGTTTTATCACTTTGCCTTGGTGCTTCTGCAAGTTCACCCCCAGTGAGCTCTAACCAAGCTCTTCTACCACACAGTCAAAACAACGGATTGAAAACTGTGATTTGCCAATACACAAGAAGTAAAGACATTAATAAAATGACTTCTTGAGATTGAAATCTTTCTCTATTCTTATCACTGATTTACAATCCCACCTTGACACCCTTCTGTTTCAAAGGATCAAGACAGCATCAACTGTGATTCAGTACAGAGGTGCTGAAGCAGTTCTCATTTAATAACCATGTTCCTATTAAGTATGGCTAGGAATAAGCAGAGACCTGATTAATGTTTTCTAACCTGAATATAATTTATTACAGAATTGAAATTTAATGTTGCCATCAGTTCTGAAGCCCTTAGAAATGGTTGGTTTAAACATGGAATGAAAATTTACTGAAAATGAATGCAAAACAGCATGAAATTTTACTCAGAGTGATATAGCTTTCCTCTTGGTATTTTAAAAAAATAGCTTACATGTCAGAAACAATTATATTCCTATTTTCCTTGAGTAAAAATAATTGTGCTTACCTCAAAAATGATCAGCGCATAAACACCTGCTAAAATGACGGATGCAATTGTAACTTGCGTCTCTACATTTGCATGAAGGTATTGATAGGTCACGGAAAGAGGAATGGTTTCTGATTCCTGAAGTACAGCTTGGATACTTATGGATGTTTCTTCACTCCTAAATGAGATTTGGTAGACTGTAGCAAAAATAGCTATGTTTCCCAATATGAGAAAGTAGTATCATTTGTCAAAACTCTAGAGTTATTCTGGTGTCTTTCAGCATAACCAATGCCATGATTTAGAAAGTTATAAAACTTTTTTTTAAAAAATTGGTTCAGGTTACTTTTACAAGTGGGTATTTTTATTTGATCCAGAATGTTGTTGTCTTTCATCACACTCTTAAGCATGGCGCTGGTCTAGCATTAAAATCCTGTTATCTTTCACTCTCACAAATAGTTTCTATAATGTCATTATGTCCTAAGCAACTGTCTTTCTTGTTTAATCATGTCCCCATACATTGCAAACTTTTTCCTTCTAACAGGAAGAAGAGTAAAAAAAGAAATGCTCCATGGGAGAGTCCTAGTCCAGTTATCTCAAGTGAGCTTCCATTAAAGGTAAAGGTTTCTCTTTGACTTTAAGTCTAGCCGAATGTGACTCTGGGGAGTGGTGCTCATCTCCATTTCTAAACCAAAGAACTGCCGTTGTCCATAGATGCCTCCTAGATCATGTGGCTGGCATTACATGGAGCGCCATTATCTTCCTGCTGAAGATACCTTCCTGCCTGAGTGGTACCTATTGATCTACTCACATTTGCATGTTTTTGAACTGTTAGGTGGGGCTAACAATGGGAGCTCACCCAGTCAGCATACAATCATTCGAACTGAGTTTGGGACAGGGAGAGGAGGCCTACATTTATGCAATGGTTGTGTGGGTGAATAATAAGCATGATTCTTGTACAGGCTCATATTCACTATTTGGACATATACTGTTCAGCTACTGTCTTTGAATCCATAAACTCACCTGTTTAACATCTCAAAGATTCTTGATACAATCACTTGCTCATTGACTCTCAAATTTAAAGGCAGGGTCCAGTTGTACAAGATCTGGGAGAGAAAAAATAAATAACATCAGTAATGAAGACAAGATTAGTGCTTTTGCTCCATTTCTTCTTCCTCAACTCATTTTGTCAGAAGCTAATTTGTTAAAGGATGCTCCACACAAATACAGAGATCTTGTTAACTGTCAATAAGCAAATAAAAACAGAACCATTGCTTTGTTAGGTTAATAGCTCAGGATGGTCAGTGCATATTTGATCAATAACAATTAATTGGAGATAGTTGCTTGAAGAATAGAGAAATCTGCTGGTATTTCAAGGATGGGCAAGAAGAAGCCTTACAGGTATTGTTGGATGCAACCTCCTCATCAGTGGTCACACCAGATATGATTGCAGGGGGTGTCAGTACAAGATTTTGCCCTCTCTCAGTGTATTTGGACTAAATATCCATTTCATGTCGAAAAAGATCTATGAAGATTGCCTATTTGTAAATAATGTGAGAGCTTCCACATATCATGAAGGCATTCCTTTGGTATGATGACTATTGGGCTGTGACTACCAAATCCCAACTCAACCATGGAAGTCCAGATGATGACCTTGGGCAAGTCACACACTCTCAGCCTTAAAGGAAAGCAAACACCTCATCCCAAAGCAGGCAACAATAATTTATCATCAAAATGTTGCTCTGAGAGAAAAGAAAGCAACAAGGAAGAGATCTAATAAAGGCTTCCATGTTTCACCTATTCACAGATTCATTATCATTGCTGAAAATAAACAATGACTGGAAATACTAGTATTTGTATTGATGAGATCTAGTTCTATTCTGAACTAAATATAATCTTGACAGTATGCATCCCTTCCTTAGAAATAAGATGATTTCAAGAATAGTTGTGAGATGAAATTAGACCATGATGATAAAGACTCACCTGTTGCTGACGTCGCCTTCTAGGTCCAGAGTCTTCCATTTGTCTAACTTGGACAATCATATAATCTTCTGATTGCCGGTCTGCTACAAAAGGCCCTCCAAGTTCTACTTTTAGAAGGGCAGAATCACTGAAATTGCTAAAGTTCACAACTAATGGAAATATAGTTAAGGACTACAATTCAGTCTGCAATATTTTATTTAATTCAATTAATTAATAAATGAATATAATAATATTATAATAATAAAACTTTATTTGTAGACCATGCTATCTCCTCGAAGGGAATATGCTGCCTTTCTGCAAATATGGTATTAATAGCAGTCACAGTATAATACAATAGATGGTGCAAACACTACTTTTGTACTCCAGAAGTAACTTCAGAGATGAAGTGAGGATCAGCCTTGCTTGGCTCCCAAAGCAACTCTTGAAAGAGGACTTTGGTGTTCCTCAGGTTGATGGCGTTGCACTGCTTTCCCTTAGCTGTTATAATGAATACCCCAGGTCAGCAGTCTTAGCTGTATATTCCCTGCTGTTGCTAGCAGAGGTATCTTCTGTCATCAGGGAGAAATGCAAATACGTACATTATCCTGAACTAGAGATGATTGTGAGGTGAATGCTTAAGGAAGTACTAATGGATACAGACTGTTGGCAACTCATACTCAAAACTAATACATTACAACCCAACTGGTCAATTTGCCAACTGGTTCATTCCGATGTATTTATGCTAGAGTTGGTATAGTAGTGAGGGATCATAATTTGGGTTGCAAAAAATGCACCATACTAGATAAGTAAGGAAATACATACATTGTCCTCTTGTGAAATCTGGAGGACTACAGTGCTGTCACAGCTACCATTTTGAGTAACCAGAAGTGGCATAACATCAAATAGGGATCTTGTAGCACCTTTGAGACTAACTGGGGAAAAAATGTTTCTAACAAGCCTTTGCAGACTAGGCTTGCTCAATCAGGTGCAGAAAGAAGTTTCTGCTGCAAACTTACTTCTCTCAGTTAATCTCAAAGGTGCTACAAGATCCCTATTTGATGTTATGCCACTTACATAAACCTTTGCATACTGATGCAAACTACCACAACTATGTTTTTGAGTAACATCACACAGTCATCTTTGGGATTTGAAAGAGCCGTATTTTCAGGAAGCACTGAAGCAGCATTTTAAAATATTTTGGAGTGACAGGGAGAGGTGTTGTTTTCTTTTCAACAGAAAATTTTGTTTCTTTTCAGCCACATGTAATTTTAGAAGATGCTATGGGTTTTGAAGGGCGGGCCAGCGAAAGTCCAAAAGGCTATGTGTGGCCTATTCCTATCTCCAAGTTAATGTGTGGAGTCTGGTCCAAGACGTCCAGAATTCAAACACCCCATAACCCATGAAACCCTCTAGGGAGTAATTGCTGTCTCTCATTTTAACCAGGAATGTTACAGGAATGTTGCAATAACAAAATGCTGAGAGAGGGATTAAAACAGGCTACTTATGGGAGAAAACAGTGGTTTATAAATTGAATAAAATAAAGGAATTGAATGGATGATTCTGACTCAAGTCCAGTATTTTATATGGTAAGCTTGTTTCCTAAAATATTGCAAAGCAAGTTTTAAAGTAACATTTACAGAACCATATTACTAGTGAGAATTCAAAAGCACTGCTTGCTACAGTTTTTAAAGTGCTTTGCATTGCACTTCTTCATAACCAAAAGGTAGAAAGCATTATTTAAAAAGAAAAACCGGGATACACAGACTGGATAGGCAATTAGTATAGCAAGAAATTCAAGTCAGTCCTATTTTAACTTTTATGGGGCTTTATTTTTTACATAAACAAAATAGGAAGCATTAATTTAAATGCTAGAATGGGCAGCTAAATGGCAAGACTCCATACATTGTGCATTGTTCAGAGCTGCCTCAGTGCTTTTGTTGCACAAGCTGGTTTCAGGAGCAGTCCAAAACAGTGTGTGATGACTAAGAATACCATGAATTCACTGGAGGACCAAGACAATGCCTAGAGGTCACATTTTGTTCTTACCGGATAAATGAAAGTACAGTTGTTGGTGGCAAGATACTGGGGATGTAATGTATTAACAAATATTCTTCATATTCCTGCTTCTCACACAGAGCAATCTTACACAGAAGTAAACATGTTCAATTCTAGTTATGGCAGCTCCTAAAATATTAGCCAATATCTTCCATCAATCATGTAGCCACAATGTCTTAGCTACACCTTAATTTTCACTAGCTGTAGAAACCCACCTAAAAGCCAGGAAGCTGTCTGAAACAAAGGAGGCTTATGCTGTTGATGAGTGAGGTGTTCAAGGATGATGGGGCCAGCCCCTTTCCACCAGGAAGTGAAACTGTGAAGAAGAAATGAGATAGGGTCCCCTTCCCTTATGCTCTTCCCAGCCTCATTCACCAACAAGAGGGACATTGCCTCATCGGATGAGGCAATTTAAGCATCCTAGGGCACTTTCACCCTGTCTTGGAGACGAAGCCCCACGTCGGCCATCACACAATGTTGAGTGATTTCGAGCAGAGGCTCCACCCCTTACCAGGGTGGAAGTGTCCTCCACAACATGGGAGCCTGTCCATGTTGTGCTGGCTCCAATGTAGCCAGAACAGGTCCTTGCGGAAGGGAGACACTTCCCATGTGTGATGTGGGAAGTGTCACTGTGAGGGAGTGGTGCACAGGGCAACAATGAAGTGGGATGCTTTGCCTGGCATTTATGATAAAGTCAATAGACACATCATTACATTGCGTCCCACTCAGCAACAGAACATACTTCCATCAACCCAGATAGATCACTGGCTTTTAATATGAGTTTTAGGGGTATTTGTAGCGGCAACAAGAGTACTACAATTGCAGAATCCAAAGCAATTACAATGTCCTATATCTAACCTACAACATCATAACTGAAGAACAGAATGCCAGCCATTATTTATAACATTCAACAATCACTGGACACATTGTTCTCATTGTGTGATTTCCACATCTTTCCTCTGATCATTCCTAATGGGTTTCTCACATGTTTCTCAGGCATCGCCACATGGAGAGCTTCCACATGAGAGTCTTATGTTCCTGGCATTGAAATTAAAATGCTCCACGTCATGAAACAAAATGCAAGGGTGGATGGAAAAGACACAAAAGAAACTGTGCCTGAAGTCGAAGCAGAGGCTCGGTAAAGGTCATGTACAAACTGGATTCTTTTTGAGTTTCAAGTGACCTGGGTTCTTGAATGTCAGGACCTCATGTTTTCAGCATTATTCGCAGTTGCCTCAATGCCTTTGCTGCACATGCTTTCCAAATGGGCAGGCGATAACATTGCCTACAACTATGTGACCTTTCCACAAATACTGAGCTGGCTTATATTTTTATTCTGACAATTGGAATGGCTGCACAAAAGAGATTAAAAATAACTGCTGGACAGTTTAAATAAATTGTCAGTAGAAGTAGTTTAAATTTCTAGGGGCAAGACATAATGATTACTGCATTTTCCAAGGCTGGATGAGTTTGATACGGTGCACTTCAGATGCTACTGCAGTTTTTAAATGTGCTTCAAAAGCTTTTCTGACCTGTTTTAATTAACCTAATGGTTTGGGACACTCTGACAACTCGTAGCCAATCTTATGAGTACAGCCAATAATTTGTATTTGAAACAGGCTTTAGGTGCACATAATTACAACACTTTCCTTTTCTTGCAATATACTAAAATACACCCTATAATTACACAGAGAGCCATTACAAGGGAAACTAAAGAAAAAAGGACTCCATTTCCCCAATATCACATACCTACAGAACTAAATGGCCCAATTCTGCTGAAAGCTCTTACTCAGTATCACACATAAAAATAAATCATTCTTTGCAGGTTTAATTTCAACACTTAACCAGTGGGCATGTTGGTTTTGTGTGACACTTCAAACAACAACAGCAACATGACTTACACAGCAGTCCTAGCTGTCATTCTTAGATTTCGATGCCAGTGTTCATTGTGGATGCAACAAAATGAACTTAAAATAAGCACTCCAGGTTATGATCATTCAAAAAGAAAAATATGAGCTAGCAAAGGTCTTCTGATTTACCAACCCTTGTGGCCTAGATGAACATCCTCCCCTGTTTCTCTGTTGCTTATCCTCTGATTCCCAGTCCCTGTTCTCTTTAATATCTAGCTACAATGCTATCATAATACTTTCCATCCTTCTTCCTGAATTATTTCCTCGATAATGCCTTTTGCCATCATCTACTCACTTTCTTATATTTGTCTCATATTTCATCTCATATTCCCCCATTCCTTCGATTAGGAAAAACATTTATTTTCGCAGTCCAGTCTCTTATCTGTTTCTTATTCTCTTCAAACTCTGAAAATCCATTTTATGATATTAATGTATACAATGCTATTTCATTTTTTCTGTTTAATGATTTTGAAGCATCCTGCCAGTTTAAAGGAAAATTAGAGTTAAAGTAATCTAATATTAGCTCAAGTTCTACAAAGGCAGACAATTTTAAGCTTAAGGGGATGCCTTAATAAACATAACCTGTGATAGGCAATGATATTGTGTAATGTCACAAGTTGTTCTTACATACAATTTATTATTCATATACCCAACACTGTTCCTTGGTCTGTCTAACTTTTTAGGTCAATACAACTGATTAAAGGAACAGAGATAACACAGAGAATTCACTAAATTATTTTTGTTGCACATATTCCCCTCTGAAAACACTGGAATACAAAGTGCATTCTTATTTTTGTGTGCCTTCAAGTCATTTCCAACTTAGGAGCCATGGTGGCGCAATGGGTTAAACCCTTGTGCCGTCTGTACTTCTGACCTGTAGGTCGGCGGTTCGGATCTGCAAGACAGGGTGAGCCTCCCATCTGTCAGCCCCAGCTTCCCATGTGGGGACATGAGAGAAGCCTCCCACAGGATGGTAACACATCCGGGCATCCCCTGAGCAATGTCTCTGGAGACGGCGGATTCTCTCACACCAGAAAGTGACTTGCAGTATGTTCTCAATTTGTTTCTGACACAATAAAAAAAATCCAACTTATCTTAAGATGAACCTATCATGGAACCGAGCAGAGAATCAAACCCTGGCTTTCCAGAGTTGTAGTGCAACACACAAACCACTACACCACATAGGTTCTTGCTTCAAAACGGAA